CCATGATCACCCCCATACCGAGGATCACGCAGCCATCTGTCGATTACATCCAGCCAGCTAGGCAGCCATATCTGTACATACATGAGAATCATTCAGACAGTTCATGGAGTTCGAGTGCCACGCGATTTCTCATGCCTCCCTCCCATTCCTTGTGCAGGTGGCGCGACACGCAACGGGGGAAGTGGAGGCCGGCACGAGCCAAAACGACCTCAGGCACTGACACACTGTCATCCATCGTCACGCGAGGCGCGTAAACGGCAGATGGAGAGAGGTCACTCACGTGCTCATACAGGTGCAGGGGGAAGAGGCAGCCAAACACGCGACACATCTCGGGGTGGGGCCTGGCAAGAACAGGCACAAACCACTCCTCAGGCACAAACGACTCCTTCTTCAGAGCCACAAACCCACGCGAGAGCAGCTGGCTCTGAACTGCCTGCGTGTAGCCTCCTAGCTGGTGGAGTGAGTCCTCATGGCGGCCGAAGGCAATCGAGTGGAGGAAGGGGCACTTGCGAATGGCCTGTAGACACACCGCCAAGACCCCCGACCCGTCCTCCTCGCTCGGCCCCGCCCCACAGCCCGCAACTACACTTATCTTTCGCACACGCCCCTCCATGCCTCTCTGACGCCCATCGCTACTGCTCCCAGCCCCGCCCCCGCCCCGCCCTCCCACAGAGACCATACGCCCGTGTTGAAACACACCTTGGAGCCATACTCAGCTATCACGTGCAGCAGGGGGCCTGACTTGCTGCACACACCGAGGCAGCGAGGGAAGAAAAACGGCGCAAGCACAGCACCATTTCTCTCGAAGCGCACCTCTGTCAGCGACTTGAGAGCGGTGGCCTTGCTCACTGCCTCCTCCCTAATCCCCTTTGCCTGCCCCAGGCCGAGAGTGGTCACGCTAGGGAAATGGCTATCAGACAGGCCCGACAGCAGAAGGTCAGGCAGAGGGCGAGAGCCAGGACCTGCACTGCTCAGGTGCAGGGTCTCGGTCTGGGAGAAGACCAGCTGAGGGAGGCCATACAGCACAACAGGCGGCACTGCCTGTCCCTGAGCTAGCCCAGAGGGAAACACGACCGTCTTGACGGCAGCTGCGAGGGAGATGATGAGGGCTGTGCACGAGGGGTAGGCTCGCATGATGTCGAAGCTACAGAAGTAGGGGTGGCACGGGGTGCACGTGAAGTTGATGGTGCCGTTGGGCGCGATGCACACCGTCCGAAATGAGTCCAAATCCTGACAGCAGACACACGAAGAGACAGCCCATACATCATACCACCAGTTGAGCCTCCCGTTCGCCTCTCCCGCACGCACCTCGAGCGTATGATCGTTGATGAATGTGACGGTCGCGTGGAACTCCTCCAGCTGCAGCCCGCTCGCGGCGATCGTCTCCCAGCCCCCCTCCCACTCGACGCCACGGAGCTGCCTGCACACATACAGGGAGCCGGCAAGGGTGGGGTCTGTCATTCATCCACACAAACATTCGTTGTCCCCTCACTCACTTGATGGACGGCTTCACCATGTTCTGGATATTGCTAAGCTCCCAGCCGTCCCACCCCGCCTCGAGGGTCAGGCTGTGTGGCCCGGGGCCCGCCAGCCATGCCGTGCACGCATCGCCGCCGTTGCCCGAACACATCGGGGCAGAGGCAGGGCTGACGGGCATGTCGCCATACATGTCACGCAGATGCACGTCGACGAGCGACCTGACATCACAACCAACCATCAACCAAAGTAAGCCAACCCGACCATCCCCCCCCCCCCCCCTCCCTCACTTACATTGGCTTCCACCGCCGTTTGTTGGCGACAGTGATCCACCACCCCGCCACCTTGACACGCACCAGCTTGGGGAAAACCACCTCGTCATCTCCCCGTCGCGGCGTGGGCTTCCCGGCCTTGGGCAGTGACTCCAGTGAGCGCGGGCAACTCACATCCGGCCACGCGTGTAGCTCCTCCAGGGTGCTGCTGGCGTGCTCGAGCAGCGCCAGCACTCCCCGGCTGGGCAGACACACCATTGTGGCTTGCTGGGTCTGGCTGAAGGCGGGCCCCCACACAGACACCTGCTTTTTGGTCACCTTGACCTTGCTGCAGAAGTCCTTGCACTTGAGCTGGAGCGTCTTGTGCATGGCGGGTTTGCGGGAGGTGGTGTGCAGGTATGGATGTGTGGGGGCCAGCCGAGTGATGATGTCCTTGGTGCCGAGATGGGGTCCGATGTGGCTGGTCAGAAAGCCCTCGGGCAGCGTCATGAGGGGCGATACGAACAATGCCTGATGCACGCACATGCGCACAAAGGATAACCGTCAATGTGTGTGTTGTGTTGTCAGCTCCGACAGTCAAGGGGTGTTGTGTACCGGCTGCTCTATCATGGCGGTGATGAGGTCGCATTTGGCGTTGGCCAGCTGTACCACCGATGCTATCTTGGATGGGTCGTGGCTGGCCCTGAGCTTCTCGACGACACTCAGCAGCACAGCACGCTGAGCATCAACACGCTGATAGGAGGCAAAAAAGCCAGCGGCAACCACAACAGAGGACCATCCATCCATGGGTGCGTGTGCTTCTGCTTGTGTGTGTCATGGCTGGTGTGTGGTCTCACCTCTGACGCGCTGTTCTCGGCCTGCGACGAGCTCGAGCCTTCTGCCGCTCCGATCAACTCAGCTACCACCTTAATCTGCAAGTAGGTACCACCCGTCCGCATCAGCAAAGGATGGTGAGATATGGAAGGAATGGAAGCACGTGCGCTGCCTTCTAAGTGCGTTTGGTGTGGATGAATGCGAGATGCATGATGAGAGATTCGGTGCGGTACTGACCCTGTCACGTAGCGCGTAGAGGCTCTGTAGTAACGTTTCTCCAAGGTCCGTCAGCTGGAATGAAACGCTATCGAGGCCGACCGGGTGCGATGGCTGCACCCACAAAGAGCACGACACAGCAGCATCCATCAGCGTCCACATTGCATCAGGCGGGATTGGTTGTGGCTCACCCCGGACGAGTCGGCTTGGGTTTTCTTACTCATGGCTCGACCGTACAGACGAGCTCGTACGCTTCGCAACCTATCTCTCAACCTCTTACTCATCGTTTGCTTCCGAGTCGGTTTTCGCGATCGTCTTTTCTTCTCAGCTCGCGCCCTTGGACCGCAGATCTCCCATCCATGGGCAGCTGCATCTCCTCTGCACCAACAGGCAAGTTCCTCTTCCTGCTCGCTCTCTCAGTCTTGCATCTTGCTCATGGCTTCTTGAGGCCTGCTGCACTGTCCCCGCCTGCACGCCATGGCAGCCGTCCACCACACGTGACGTTGTGTGCACACAGTCATGCCGATGATGCATCTGTTGTTTCATGCCGACGCTCACTGTGGGAGCGGCGCATCGCTGAGGGCTCATTGGCGGTGTCTGGCTTGTGCGTCGTGTTGCCAGGTGATGCAGACGCCTCAACAACGCTCTACAAGTAAGCAGGGAAGAGACAAAACACCAGATCTGCTGACGTGCTTTGTGTTATGGGTGTCATGTTGTGTGTGTCAGGACGGTGGACGACATTCCCGCAGAACAGTTCAACAAGAAGGCCAAGCTGGCTTGTCGTGTGGTCAATGTAGCCGACGGCGACACCATCAGATGCCGCCACGTGGTGGACGTGGGGCGCGGCGGCGGCGCCCAGGACGAGAAGGGTCGGCTGCGGGACACCACCCTCTCCATCCGCCTGTATGGCGTCGACACGCCCGAGACAGCCAAGTTCGGCAATGCAGGGCAGCCCTATGGCGAGGAGGCAAAGGCGTTCGTCAAAGAGCGGCTACAAGACCAGCTCGTTGAGGTCAGCGGAACCGACACTCACACACCTGTGCCATTGTATGGCATGGTGGGTGTGGTCGTGTGTGCAGGTGAAGCTGCTCCGTCGAGACCAGTACGGGCGTGCAATTGCCGCCGTGACCTACCAGAAGCCGCCCGCCTTCCTGTTCTTCGGAGGCGGTGCCGTCGACGTGTCGCAGGAGCTGGTGGACAACGGGCTGGCTGTCATCTATCGGGGCGGTGGGGCCGAGTACAACGGCAACAAGGACACACTCGAGTCGCTCGAGCAGCGGGCCAAACAGCGGCGGGTCAACATCTGGAGCGTGCCTGATGACGAGAGGGTCTCCCCCGGCCAGTACAAGCAGCAGTTGCGGGCGCAAGAGAGGGCAATGGAGGAGCAGCAGAGGGGCTTGAGTGCTGCGGTGCCGCAAGGGGCGGCTGTGCCGCAGATATAGTAGGATGGGACGGCGGAGAAAGGCAGGCAGGTTTTCCATTCCTGATATAGTCAGGTCCTTCGATGGATGGCCCATTCATTCATTCATTCACTCGTACGTGGTGCAGCCCATCAGTCAGTCAGTCAGTCAATCAGTCAATGGGCGACTGAATTTCTGATAAGTAAGGCGTCTGTCGTCAGCTGACAAGACAGTGACAGCAGAGAGGGCCGGATGGTTTCGTTGTTTGCTGCGTGTATGTGTGTATGGATTTATGTGCATCATGATTCGTGATGATGCGGGACACCCGCACGAACACGTCATGCTGATGGACGGTGAATGAAGTGTATCCAGCCGCCCTTAGTCGTCGCTCATAAGGTGCATGACAACTCACTCCGTTCTCGTCCGGCAGTCAGATCGACCAATGGATAAAGCGGGGAGCGTCCCTCCCGCAGCTAAAGGCCAAGTCGCCGGCTCAAGTCGGTGTCGGCTGCAACGATGCATTCCATAGCGTTCTTGCGAAGGCATAACCTTTGGCACAAGAGACATTTCTATGTTCGAAAGTCGGTATGCTGGCTGCATGTGTGTGAGACATGGCCTGGTGGGTAGTTTGTTGGGTTCATGTGACAGAGAGGGTCCAGCATAGATGGCCATCCATGCCATCCATTGTCCCATGCTCGCGCTAGTTCTGCATGGTACAGCAGTTTGTCCATTCATCTGGTGGTAGTGCCGAAGTAGTTGAAGTAATCCTCCGAGGGCGGGTTGGTGTAGAGCTCCTTCTTGAGGTAGGTCTGGGTGTCCTGCTGCTGCTTGCCCAAACCAGCGTTCGTGTGACGCACGTCATAACGAACCTGACACCACGCAATTCAAAGAATAGGCTTTGCTACCGCGAAGCCGGTGCCTTGTCTTCGTGTGTCACCCACCCTCTGAGCGAGTCGCTGTTTCTCCCTCTCGACAGCGACCTGGAGTTTCCTGTTGGCCTCGTGCTGCCGGGCCCACTGCAGCTCCTCGTCCATCTCACGCTGCTTCTGCTCCTCCTTCTCGCGCCACATACGCAAATTCTCCTCCAAACACGACTGCACACATCAATCCACCCGTCCATCCATCCATCCCACAGACACACATAAGGGTAATACCTACCTGTCTCTGTTTGCGTGTGGTGCCCTTGAAGCCGTCCCTGAGAGTGCCGATGACGGCCGCGTCTCCCGGCTCGAGGCCTGCAGGGTTGGTGTCGCCTGGCCCGTCGTTGACGTTGACGTGCCCCGTGAGGTCGAGGCGGCCGTCGGCGAGATACGGGTCGGTGTACTGGTTGATCAACTCCTTGTTGTCGTCATCCTGAACCAACCAGCCATGTGATGTCATGTGTGCTCTTGTGTTCATACGGCATATGGGTGTTTGAACCTGTCTCGTGAGCCGTCCTTTGAGTGTCTCCTCGAGTCTGCAGAGCGCCGTCTGCTTGTTGGCTTCAGACGTCTCGCACTGCAGCTGACGACGGGCGGCTTTCTGCTGGTCCTCAACGGCATACATCAGCTCTGCCGTCTTGATGGCCTGCACACCTGCATCACAGACGCACAGACAGACAGACAGACAGACGAGGGCAGACACGCATGTACGATGGCCCCGTCATCCGGCTACCCCATTCCTTGTCTTCGTCTTGCTCGGCCTTCTTGATGATCTCCTTTTCGAACTTCTGCTGGGCGACCCAGTCGCGCACCTGCTTCTGCTGAAGCTTCTTGCGCTCGGCCGCCGCACGGTCCTCACCCGCCAAGACCTGCAATGACACACGACAAGGAGAGCCACACCCATCCACACAAGAAGCAGCGATTGTTGGGCATGGCAATGGATGTGTGTGTGTGGTTGCCTGGACAGATGAGGCGCCATATTTCTCCTCTGGCGGCTCATGGTATTTCTTGACGCGGTCCTTGTCGTCCAGGTCATACTCTGCACACATACACGCACACACACACACACACCAGTGTGTCCATCGGGGTGCTTGTGTTCTGTCACTGTTCGGTCTCACCCCTCCTTTGCTCCCGTCGCAGCTGAGTGAGTGAGAATGTCTTGCCCTCCTCCTCTACCTGACGCTTCAGGCGACGCTTCTCGATCTCCTGACGACACACAACGCCGTCATGCCCTGCACAGAGCTCCAGGCCATTGCAAAGTGCCCCCTGCGACCTCACCTGTCTCTTGAGCACGGCATCGTAGTAGAGTGTCTGCTGGGCATACAGCCGCTCCTCGTCTCTCTCCTTCTCCTTCCGGGCCTGGACATAGACCAAAACGCATCCACAATGCGGCCCCATATGCAATGCCGTCTGACCTGTTTCTCTGCAACTTGGCGGTCCAGCGCCTCTTTGTCGATGCCAATGGTCCGTATCTTGGGATCAAAGATGCGCTTCTTCCTCTCGGCCTCGTATTCCCGCCGCCTGTTGACGTCAATGGCCTCCTTCTCGTCAGGGCTGAGGTGATGCCGCAGCATTGGTGTGTTGACTGGGAGGTTGCTGTTGGAGAAAGCGCCTGGTGGAGGGACATCGGGGTTGAGGGCTGCTGCCACGCCCGTCACAGGACCTGCGGTGGACGCCATGGGATGTGCGCTGATGGTTGGGAGACTGAAGTGAGGCGGGGGCAGAGCGGGGGTGCCCCCCAGTGCATGCACTGCACTGCATGCGGATCTTTCCCCTGACCTCGTGAGATAAGCGCCATATCCATCCAATCATACGTACGCATCTATGCTCTCCAACCACTGTACACACCAACCACTGTCTGCTATCGGCCCTGGCAATCTATCATGCATGCAGATCACTCGTCTTCCTCCTCCTCTTCCATCTTGACCACACCGTCACGCTCCTTCTTGACCCCACGACGACCCCTGCCTCGCGCAGTGCCGTCACCCGCCGACTGCCCTCCCTTCTTTCGGCGCTTCCTGCTCCGCCGCGACCCCGCGCTGTCGCTGCTGCGATGGTCCGATGGCGCCTCCTCTTCCCCCATGTCCATGTCCATGTCGGCCTCCGGCTGCTGTGGCTCCGCGTCTGGGTGCTCTTCTTGCTGGTAGGCGTCGTAGTTGAACAGGGGCGGGTCGTTGTCGGTGAGGCCCAGGGATGCGCAAAGCTGCTGCCATCTGCGCTCGGTGAAGCCGCCGATGATGTTCTGGTGACTCACACCCTGGTGGGCCCCCTGCAGACACACACACACACACATACATGGCGCATGTGTGCTGTGCGGTCTGGGCAGATTGTCTGCCGTGCGGTGCGGTGGTCGCTCTGTGTCTGTCCTTACCTGGGGTCCGTTGGGGTTGTCGCCGTCGTCCATGGGTTCGATGTATGGGCGGCCGTCCTTGACGACGTGCCGGGCCCAGCCCCGCTTCAGCAGCATCCCCTGCAGGAACAGGTTGTGCACGGAGCTGTCAAAACCCTGCAGGACCCATGCACACACAGCCATGCATAGACATCGATCAGAGCGTGGTGATGCGGCTGGCGTGCTCCTCAGCCCTCACTATTTCTGGTCGTGGGTCTATGACGAACAGCCACATGGGCACGCCGCCCTCCATCTCCTGATGCAGCTTCTTGAGCACCGACAACATACCCATGGCCTGACCACAGGCACACACGCCACATGGACGGACACATCCATCACACAAACACGAGGGCCGCGTCGGTCTATATATCGTCTCACCTTGTTGTATGTTTCAGTGGTGGCGTCGCCTGCTCTGTTCTCCGCCGCCTCGAGTGTCCGGGCAGCAGCGACCCTGTCCTTCCTGCGCGGATTGGGTTTCTACACCGTCCATCCACAAGCACACTGACATGGAGCCTGGTCCTTTGGGTGGTGAGGTGAGGCGCCACCTTTTTGGGCTTCTTCTCCACTTCGAGTGCTGCCAGCATACTGTCGAGGCGGCAGGGGACGAACCGGGGCACGCAGTCGCCCCCGATGGCCTTGGACACGGCAACGAAATCTACACCGTCACCGTTGGCACAACTGACAGCACACGACGAATGGGCAAACACACACACATCCATCAGCAGGACTTGGGTGGGAGCTCACCGGTACTTTGCGAGCAGCTCATAGAGGAAGGCATGATGCCGCTTGGCTGCCTCGTCGTCAAACAGCTTCTGAGTGCTCTTGTTGACCACATTCGCAACCGTCGCACCTGCAAACACACACAGACCCACAGACCACACACCGAGCCCATGCCACACAGATCTCCATGCATCCCGACGACCTGCCCCTTACCGTATGCACATGACGTCGCGAGCGTGTTGGTATCGTCTTTCTCTATCTCCTCCAGCGCCTCGGCGTCCTCCTCAACCATCTCGTCCATCGCCTCCACATCGGCCTCGGGCAGCTCCCTACACATCTCCGTCCGACGTCGCAGCTCCACACGCCGCTCACCCCTGACGAATGTTGCACACACAGACCACACAGATGAGCCACATTGCACATTGTGTTGTCAATCTCACCTGGCGTGGTGTCTGGCGGCATTGGCGTTGGCATTGTCAGCGGCCGCTGCTGCAGCGGCTGCGTTATCTCTACGCTCCATTGGCATCACATTCCTTTTGCCTACGATCTTCTTCCGGCTCGCACTCAATCAAACGGCTGAACCGTTGGCAGGGAATGATGGAGAAAACAGGTTTGTGCATTACAAAAAGCCCCTACACGAGTTCCGTGGCGACAGCGTGTCCCTTTTCTTCTTTTCGTTGTGCAGACATCCGAGCGAAAGCTGAGGAATACCTCGAGAAGCACCGCATCACGGAGCTCTTCACGGTGGGCCGGGCCACAAATGGACGTACATGCACCTCAGAACCGACGCCAGGATGGCGCCCTGCTGGCCCTTTTCCCCATCTTCAGGACTTGTGCACGGCCGTGAGCTTCCACAAGCCCGTCGATGTTCGCAAGTTCCTCACCGAGGAGCTGAAACGACGCGTCGAAGAGGTATGGATGCGTGTCGGGCCATGCATTGCCTGCATGGATTGTGCTGATGTGGGTGCCTGGTGTGACAGGGGAAGGAGGCCGGTGTGTTTGAGGACGCTGAGATCGATGCCGTCTTTCAGATGAGCGACCTCAACAACTCGGGATTCATCTCACAGGAACAGTGCAGAAAAGGTATGAAAGTATGTGCCCAACACACTAAGGGAGATAGGCGCACAGACAGACACCGAGACCGAGGCGTGTGGACGGATGTTGCTGTCTGTCTCCCTCAGCCTTGATGACATTGAGTTCCTCTATGAAGCAGTATGAGGAGGCCAAGGAGATGACCTTCCCCAACCAAGACGTCGACTTGCCCACCTTCCAAGAATATGCGTAGGCCATGCCGCTCTCTGGATGGGGAGAGAGGGAAGAGAGAAAAAGGAGACACACAGCTGGCTCCATATGTCTCTCTCTCTCTGTCTTTCTGTGTGTGTGTGTGTGTGCGCGTGTGTCCCTCCCTCCCTGGCTGGTTGGGTGCAGCAAGAGACTGCTCAAGACGATGCCAAAGATGTAGTTGGTCAGCCCGTGGTGCGTGTGCACAGACTTGTGTGGGTGGTGGTGCTCTGACGATTGCTCTCTACGCCCGATGGGGTGTGTGTGCGGACAGGACATGTGTGTACGTGTCGGGTAGGCCCGGCCATGGCTGAATTAATCTCAATGAACACATGACAATGGCAACAAGAAATCCGAATACATACACACATGCAGTGGACGGATGGACTTAGTCAGTCAGTCGGTCAGTGTTGATCCCGCCCACAGACCGATTGCTTCTTTCAATGCATCAGCGCCACAAAGTGCCCGGCCGGCCACTCACTGTCTGATACAGGTATCCATCCAGCTCTCTATGCTATGCTACACGCACTCCACGCCACGCACGCCACACGCCGCCCACGGCTCATGTCAACCAACCAAAAGAGGGAGGGACAAAAGCACCCATCGACCAGGCTGCGCTGCGCTGCGCTGCGCTATGCCTCGTCGATCTGTACACCCTCAACTATGTATGTGTGTGCGTGTGTCACCGGGCGTGTGTGCCGTGCCCTCTGACCTGACCCGAAAAAGGTGAGTGGGCGATACACTTATACGCGATTGCACGGTTAGGTCAATGAGTCATGCCAGCACTTTGGCCTCGTTTCGCAGCTTGTCGAGCAGCTCATCCACCGAATCGACCTGAACGCACACGCACGCACGCAGTAAGGTGTCTTCATCGTGGTCGGTTGTTCTAGCGGGGTGGGTGCCGACATACCTTCCTGCCTCCTTCCCTCTTCGGCGGCTCCTCAACACTGAACCACATGTAAGGTGGAGAGAGGGAGGGAGGGAGGGAGGGAGGGGCGCCCCGTCAAGTGTGCTGGCTGGAAGTGTCATTTTGTTCTCCCCACCTCAGGTATTCTAGCCTTGGTGACATGTCAACACCTGAACCAACCAGCGAATCAATGGATCAACCGAATGTATGGGTACCTCTGCAGGCGGCCTGGCCTAGCCACTGACTCTTTCACTCACCTAGCGACGCCGCATCCACCACCTCGAGGGGCTTCTTCTTGGCCTGCACATAACACATACACGTGGAATATGCCTGTGGCTGTCTGGCTGTTGTTGTGGCTGACCTTCATCAGGTTGGGTAGTGTGGCGTATCGCGGCTGGTTGAGCCGCAGGTCGCACGTCACCACACATGGAAGCTTCAACGATATCTGAGGGCACAAAGAAAGAACAGAAGATGATCTTGGCTGCGTGCTAGGCATGCATTGGGGCGAGAGAGGACCAGCCGGCTTACCGTCTGCAGGCCTGCATCCACCTCACGTGTCACGTCCACTCCTGTCAGGCCGCTGTTGAACGCCAACTGAAAAGGGAAACAAACAGGTGCAGGAGGGAGAAAAGAGTCATGCGCGCCGACAGTAAGGTAGTGGTGGGCAGCGCACCTTGGAAGCAAAGGTCGCCTGAGGCCACCCAAGCATCCCTGATACACAGACACACAACAGACACGTTCAGCAACGAGCCAGGAAACAGCCAGCCCAGCCCGGCCCGGCCCCCTTCACACCGTCTTGCTCGTTGGGTACCTGCGAGCAGCTGTCCAGTCTGGTTGCTGTCATCATCGATGGCCTGACACAACCATTTTTCATCAATCCATCCATCCATCACGGGTCGGGTCGCATGTTTCTCTTTGCCCGCCACACCCACCTGTTTGCCGAGTAGCACGACCATCGGGTCTTCCTTCTCCACCATCTTCTTGAGCAGCTTCGCTACCGCCAACGGCTGCAGCTCCATGTCTGTCCGGTAATCTGACATACACCACACCCACCCACACAGCGCTACCTATGCGCAGTGCAGCCAACGGGTCTGGCGATGACACAGCCGTGCCACGCACCTGTTTTGAGGAGGATAGCCCGATCTGCTCCCATTGCAAGCGCTTGCCTTAAGCTCTCCTGAGATCTGGACCACAAAACCACACACGACACACAGCACACACCCACAACCCCCGTCTGATTGCCTTTCCTCAGGCCGGCTGGCTCGTTGGCTCACTCACTTGTCAGGTCCGCACGAGACGGCGACGAGTTCTGAGAGGGTTCCAGCCTCCTTGAGCCTGACGCCCTCCTCCACAGCTATCTCGCAGAAGGGGTTCATCGACATCTTGATGTTGTTCAGCTCCACTCCTGACTTGTCGGGCTTCACACGCACCTTCACCGCATAGTCTATCACACGCTTCACCGCAACCAACGCCCTCATGACTGGCGAATTCCGAGAGAGATGAGCAGATCTGCGAAAACTGGCGCCTCGCGAGCAGCGATCTCCTAAACGGCGGCTGTGCGATGCCACTCGATGCCTGAGGTGCCAGGGCTCGCCTCACCGATAAGCTCGCAGCAAAGGCGAAGAACCCGGCGTTGCGCTTGTTGCGCTTGGATATTGAGCATCTTGACAGGTAGTGGAAGCTCCGCTTGATCTGTTCCAGACATGAAGCAGGTGTGGTCTTCTTTTTGCCTTCAGCTGCAGGTCTGGCTCTCAGTTGAGGTGATGGCATCTGAAGCCGTGAGTCGGTTCAAGGTGGCCATTCGAGGCAAGAGCGTCGAGGAGATAGCCAACCTCCTCAATCAGCAGGACCGGCAGAACTGGGCTGCATGCGTGGCCGTGCTCGACGAGAAGGTTCGAGGGAGGATGGTGGCCGTCCTCAAGCAGCGGCATGAAGCGAAAACGGCAGCAGCAGCAGCAGCAGCAGGCTCCTCGTCAAGCAACAAGAAGAAAGCCGACTCCAAACAACCAGCAGCAGCGGCAGCATCTACGAGTGGTCTGCGGACACTTGCCGCTTTGGGGGTCGACGCCACCACATTGCGCGAGACCCCTCTCCTCGATGCCGTCCGCAGGGCGCTCTTCACGTTTGGCGACGCCCAGGAGTGCTCAGAGGCTAGCGCCACAGCGGCACACCACTACCTCAACCACTGGCTGGCGGCTCTGATGACCGTCTTCGATCGGTGCGACAGCCAGGCCGGCGGCAAGGGAGCGGCAGCCACCAAGTTCATGGCCTTCCTGAGCGAGGTCTTCCCACAGGAGATGTCCGAGTACGACAAGAAGAAGGCAGTGACGTCCAAGGCGACCGGTGCCATGGACGACGAAGGAGAGGACATCGACGCCCTCACACACATGGCAGCCGCCGCCCAAGAGCAGCCAGATGGTGAAGCTGCTGCACCGACGGCCATCCATGACAGTCGCTCTCCCTCTGCGGACAGCCTCCTCCCCCCTGATCGCTTCTTCCACCGTCTGGCCTTCAGAGATGCGCGCAGCAAGGCCATGAAGGGCGCCGCGTACAGTGCGTGGCATGCGGCTGAGCAGCAGCTGTTCACCGGCAAGAAGAAGCAGAAGGCCTTCAAGGACTATGTCAAGGGTCTGCTGGCGGCCATGGGGGCCGACAAGGACAGCAGAGTGCCCGTGACCAACGGACGGGCAATGGAAGCGCTGGCCTTCCTCGTCCACGACCGCCTGACGAGCCTGGTGGAGATTGCGATGCGCATCGACCACTCACAGCAGCAGCAGCACGTCACCCCAATGTCCCTCCCATCGCTCTCTGAAGCCCTCCAAGCTGCTGCCGAGGAGGCGGCCGATGCGTCGCCCCTCGGTGCTGACGCCTATCGGCTGGCAACGGCCCTGCTCGACGAGCACGTTGACGGCTGTCTGGCTGACAAGGTCAATGGCGGCGACAAGAACGGCAGAAAGAGGGAGAGGGAAGCGGATGCAGCAAATGGAGGCGAGGAGGCGTCGCCCAAGCGCAAGAGCACAAAGGCGCCACCCACCATGGACACCCTCGACACGCCCATCGCCACCCTTCTCGACATCAAGATGCCGGCCAACGAGTCGGAGGCGCTGTGGTGCCTCCTCCCGGCCTCCTCGCGAGGCCTCACCGACGCGGCGTCATTGCTGCTGCCGAGCCCTCTGCAGATATTCCAGTGGCATCAGCTGCGGTCGTTGCTGTGGGCACACCGCACCGACGACACAATGACCATTGAGCAGCTCAAAGAGGACATGATTACCAGCTGGGGGCAGGGGCAGCTGGGCAGGGGGCCGGCGGCAAGTGCTGTGGCTGCCGCAAAGGATGAGGCCGACAAGCTCAGGAGGGTCATCGAGCGAATCGAGCAGATCCAGAACACACAACGGCTGCTGTTCCCAACGTCCGAGCCGTCGGATGAACCATCACACGACGCGGTCGACGCAGCCCACAAGGCCCCCTCAGCCCGACCAGCGGCCGTCCCATCGTCTTCCCGTTTCGCCCCTCGTGTGGGCATTCGTCGTGGTGCCAACCAGATGTTCATCAAGCCTTCCGGAGGTCTGGGCAGCACCCCGGTGAGCAAGAGGGCGGCAGCACAGGCAGAGAGGGATGACCGTGCGCGTGACCGGCTGGAGGAGGCCAGGTGGGAGGAGGAGAACGGCGAGGGCGACGAGGGCGATGAGGATGAGGCCATTGACGACGGGGTGGCGAATGGCATGGGGAGGGGGGAGGCTGAGGCCGACGAGGAGGAGACAATGGAGTATTGGGATGGGTAGATAGAGGGGTGCTCCGTCAGTCTTTGTGTGGGTGGGTGTGTGGGTGGGTACAAGACGATGGTCTTACTCTGGTTGTTTTGTCGGTTGGTCGTTTGTGGTGCGCATGGTGTATCGTGTGATCAGACATACATACGTGTCCTCAAGACCGATCGATCAAATGTGCATACACACACGGTTGAGACGAATCTCGTTTTCAGCATATATATATATCAGGCATTGGTCCACTTGTGCACGGCACACGCTCGTTCTGTCCTTCCATCCCTCCCTCCCTCGGTCCCTCCTTATACCCAGGCGGGCAGGCAAACGCAACTCAGTCACACTTAGGCATCGCATTTTTACCCATGAGTGAGTGGATGGATGAATGGATCGACGCACTCGAACAGGCGGGCAGATAGACAGCGACAGGCGGCCACAACTACGATGCGTCGAGACATGCATCAATCACAAGAGAGCCGTCACGGTCTCTGGTCTCTCAGGCTCTTAGTAGACTGATTGATGACTGACGAAACCACGAATATTCCTCGAAGGGCTGGCTTCCCTCCGCCTCTCTGTCTGCCTGTCTGCCTATCTGTCTGTCTGCCTGTCTGTCTGTCTGTTTGGGGTGCACTGCGTTGCGTCTGATCGTTGGGATAGACGGGCGCTACGTTAATGTGGGTGTAGGTGGTGTGGGCAATGGGTAGGCTGTCTTGTGTGTGTGTATCGACAACGGCGCATGGGGGTGGGGAAAGTCAGTCAGTATGGGGCAATACAGCACACCAGTGTGGCAAGAGAAAAGAAGAAGGCCTCACTCAGCAGCTCCATCGTTACTCACACGCAAAGGCATCATCCACGCGACTCTGCCAGCCAGCCAGCCGGCCACCCAAGCTGCCAGCGAGAAACAGGCCTTCCTTCTCTACGTCCATGAACCGACCCCCCGGCATCCCATCTGGTGTGTCCATGAGTCAGTCAGGAAGAGGCCGGCAGCCCCACAGCGACTGCGCCAGCCAGTGCAATGAGTGTCTCCGCGGGCTGAGCGTCCATGCCCGTGATGGTCGTCAGCTGCTCCACCGTCATGGCGGCAAGCGATGGCACTGTCACCCCCTGGGCCATGAGCACGTCCACCCATGCCGGGTGCAGCGCGCAGCGGGCCACCAGGGTGCCGACAGATGGGGCGAAGGGTGGTGGGCAGGGAGGGGCACGTGAGCCGGAGTGGCTGTTGGTGGGTGTGGTGTGGGTGTGGGTGTGGGTGTGGGTGCTGCTGGTGATGGCCGACGTGGTGGTAGTGGTGTGCTGGCGGCCCTCCTCGGGCATGGGAGTGAAGAACAGGGAAGGGCCGAACGCCTGATGTATGTGATGACACACACAGAGACCGACCAGGTGCCCAAACGTGCCTCATTCCATCCATCGGTGTCTCTGTGCTCTCCCCCTCGCTAACTGACTGACTGACTGACCTCGGCCAACATGATGTCCCGTTTGCAGGGCGCGACACCGCCATCTGCCTTGTCACTACACTTGCGGCTGCACGTGGAGCCCCACCACACACCGCTCTGACACCACTGGCTGCTGCTGGCCTCCTGCAGCAAGGCCTCTACGCCGAGATCGTTGTCTTGGTTCATGAGTGCGGTAATGCTGGGTCGGTAGGTGGGGAGTGAGGGGTCGGGGAAAGGCGGAGCGTTGGCGTTCAGCGGCTTGCTGGTGCTGGAGCCCTTCTTGACGGCGAACAACAGGTCGTGGATGTTGGTTTTCACATCTGACCAACACACACACAGAGAGGGAGACAAGGGGAGGAGTGCCATTGGCTGGCTGATGGACGAATGGTCACCCTCCCTCCCTCCCCTGCCCTGCGTACCCTCAGATGTGGTGCAAAAGGCTCGATGAAGGCTGGTGTGCTCCAGTCCCATTGGCGGCCCCGCATATGGCCCCGGCTGCTCCATCCCCCCTCCGCCACCATACCCATACCCCCCACTCCCAGGGTATACTCCCCCCTCACACACGCCGGCGTGATACCCCTCCCGCATCCCATACCCCTCCTGCATCTGCTGCTGCCCGGGCACATAGGGCAGGTGGACCTGCTGCTGGGGGAAGGGGTGGCGAATACGAGTGGGCAGCAGACCGTCGCAGCCGGCCATCTGGGGTCCGATGGTGTAGCTGGTGGCTGTGGGCCTGTGCTGCTGCCTTCGGGGAGGGTCGTGCTCCTCTGCTGAGGCCATGATGCTGTTGTACACGTGGCTGAAGGCCTCGTCCACGCCGCCCTTCCTCGAGTGCACGCCGACCAGCGTGCCTTCCATGATGGTCATGACGCTGCCGATGCGGCCGGTCGTCTTAGTGGACTGCTCGGTGCTGGTGTCCATGGTGCGACCGCGGTGGGGCGGCGGAGAGTGCGATCGGCTGGGCAGGTCGGTGGACTCGAAGGATGCGGTGAAGTTGCAGCTGGGCCGGCAGCATGTCGTCGCCTGGCTCATCCCCATCGCCCCTGCCCTCCTCTCGTCGACAGCCATATTGGGCCGCATCAGGCCGTCCTTGCGACGGGCGATCACCACATTGGCCTGGTCAATGGTGCGCGAAATGCCGTAGCAGGTGGGCGGCTGCTTTCCCGGCGTGGTCGACAGCAGACGCTCAGTCGCCTCCTGCAGAGCCGCAGTGGCAGCCTCCCGCGCCTGCCGGGCCTCCTGGTCTTCCTCATAGTGCTCGACCACCATCTGGGTCTCCACAGCTGTCTTGTCGGCGCCGCCCTGTGTGCGTGTAGCCGACTCGTCGTGTGATGTGCCTTTCGGGGGCGGGGAGAAGGACACAGCTTGGGTCCACAGGGGTCGGCGGTAGACGGGCGCTGCGGGGTCGTTGAGGGGGGAGGTTGGGTCAAGGTCAAAGACATGCTCGGTCGAGCCACACACACGGCCATCAGGAGACGGAGGGATCAGATGCCGAGGATCGGGTTGGGGTGGGGTGGCATGGTGGTGGTGGTGGTGGTCATTGGGGGCGAAGAAGACATCGTACAGGTCGACCAGCAGCCGCTGGAAGTGGTCGAACATGTACTCCGCCACAGAGACGATCGCCAGGATGCACAGCCCCAGGGTCGCCAGGACGAGGGCGACTCCCTTGCCCGCGATCGTCCGGGTGGCGGGTTTGCCAACGTGCTGTTGGTAGAGCCGTGTGTTGACGATGGCCATCCAGCGGTGCCACGCGGGGGTGAGCGCCTGGCGCACCCATGACGGGTCCATTATGACGGTCGTGAGTACGAAGATGCTGAGCGCCTCTGCATGACACAAACAACATCCCACCACACAAACCAAACGCCTCTGCATAAGAGCGCCTTCCCGCCCCCCTCCCTCCCTCCCTCCCTCTGCATGAATGCGATGCGCACCTAGTGGGGAGAGTCGTAGTGTGAGCTTAAGCGCCGCCGAGAAGGAGTGCGTCCGGTCCTCGAACAGCCGCTGTACCAGCGCAACCAGCCAACTCAGCAAGGCCATCATGACGGCAGGCAGGTGCTAAAGACGGGCAAAGATCGTTGCAAATGGCGATGAGGATGTCAGGCGAGGCTCGAGAGCGACAATTATCACCAGGGGGGGAAAAGATGCGACAGGTGGATTGAAGAGGGGCGGGGGCGGGGCGGTCTGCCTAGGCGGCCAAGCCTTGAGGGATGCTCTGCTGGCTGCTGGCACTGCACTGTTGCAAAACGGCACCACTCGGTCACGGTGGCGCTGCAGGAGGCTGTTGCAGGCGTGCAGGACCCTTCAGCAGCCTTCGCACAGACGCTACGGATGGCCCACACAGGGCCAGGGCACCCAGCAATGCCCACAGGCTGAATGCACCGTCAGATTTCGTCGGCGGTGGCTGAATAAGGTCCAATGAGGGACATGAGGCCGCGATGGGAGCCGCCAAGCGTCCCGTGGACGAAAAAGACCCAGAAAACACTTGCGAGCTTGCAAGCTCGCCCTTGGTGGCTTCGGGAGTTTTTTGATCAGCGGGCGAGTGGCTGCCTGAGCACCTCATATATCATACAGATCAGGCGTCAGATCCGTTTGATTGTCAGCTGATCTCCAATGCGGCCTCCAGTGAAATCCCCGTTCGGCTTGAATCCCAGGGGTGCGGCAAACAGACAGATGCCCGGGGTGGCTGCGGGCGGGGACGACCTCCAGTGGCACCAGTCAAGGTAGGGAACTCGAATACACCTGACTGACGTCCTCACAGGTTCACACGTCACGCCTGTCTTTCTGCCCGTGTTGATCTGCAGCTCATTCACGAGCCCTGACCAGCAGATGCCAACAGGTATGCGCGCATCCACGGAATGCGCCCTGTGTGTTTGTATCCATCGTGATCGATTGCGCACCACAGGTGTTCCCCATCCATCTGCCATGCCCGCGTCGCGCACCGTCAATCTCGGGCCACACCCCAGCGGGCCCACCATGACCAACAGAAGCCACCACCACAGCGGAATGGGCATGGCCATGAACGGCGGAGGCGCACTAGCAGGGCCAGAAGCCAGCCAGCCATCGTCAGGGCCGGTGTCGTCGCCCTGGGCGCCTCAGCAGCCGTCCCACCGAGCACCGCACCACCACCCGTACCACCCCTCACAGGACGGCTCGGATCAGCCGGGAGGGTTTGCCAGTCAGCCGCCAATGCAGCAGGGGGGCGGGGTCGGCGTCGGCCAGGGGGGTATTGGTGGTGTGGGTCAGGCGGTGCAGATGGTGGGGATGGGCATGGGAATGGACCCCCAGCTGTCCAATGCTGTGGCGGGGTTCGCTCTCAAGGGCATGGCCGAGGGACTGGGCATCAGGGAGGAACAGGTGAGGAATGGAATGCAGCCAAGGAGAGAGGGAGGGGGACACTTACGCCTCATGTGTCTATCGTGCCTGTCTTATGTATGTGTGTGTGTGTGTGTGTAGTTCAAGGAGCTGAAGGGGTGGTGGCCGGCGTCGCTGGTAGCGCTGAGTCGATACTTCCAAGTGAGCCACAGCTACGTCCTCAGCAAACTTCTGTTCCTGCTGTGCCCATTCATCAAACAACAGGTGACTCGGTGACCCAAGCACTGCAGAGATCTCACTTCCATCTTGCTGCGTATGTGTCAGTCCTTTGGCCGTGGGGGTCGGTCGCCTCAGTCTGCCGGTGCGGATCAGTGGTCGCCCGGCGGCGGCATCTCAGAACCAACAAACAAACAGAGGTGGAGTACAGACCGCAGGGCTTCTCACTATAGAGGCGTGCGTGTATCCAGCTTTGGTGTGTGTGTGTGTGGTTGTGGTTGTGGTTGTGGTTGTGGTTGTGCAGTAGCGATGTGACCCAGCTGGATCTGTACATCCCTCTAATGGCCTACATCACATACATCCTCGCATTCGGACTCACCAAAGGCACACTCGCAAAGTAAGTGCGTCAGGCAGCGAGGGAGGGAGGGGCCAACAAGCAAGCACACAGACAAGGTGCCACTGAGACGCTCGGTGCTTGTGTTGTGTGTGGTCAGTTTTCACCCTGAGTTGTTGGGTGCGCGTGCGACCTATGCGGGCATCGTTGTGTTCCTGGAGGTGCTGGCTGCCAAACTGGGGTTCTACCTGGGCGGCGGCAAGGGCAGCCAGGTCCTCTGGCTAGACATGGTCGCCGTCGCAGCATACAAATTCGTCAGGTTAGTGGAGGGGGAGGGGCCTTCACGCGCGTGGCGTTCACACACTCGTAATGGCTGTTGTCGTGCAGCTTGGTGTTGATAGTGGCGGTGGGTTTGGTGATTGTTGCTCTGACGGGCAAGTTCCACCGGGTCCTCTTCTGGATAGCCTTCAGCTACCTGTCGCTCTGCGCCGCATTCGTCACGGTGAGTTTATGAGGAAGCCAATGACAAGTGGATGGTGACCACGGAGACCGATTCTATCTCGCTGCGTGTGTGTCCATGTCCATGTGCATGCATCAGTGGAAGTTCCTGGAAGCCCAGCAGCCACACCAGACCAGCACGGCATCAGAATGGGGTACGCCAGGGTGGCCGGCACCTTGGTGGCGGGCTGGCAAAATGTGTGTATGCGTGCGTTGTGTGTGTCCTGCAGGTGTCAAGTCGGGAGGTTCGCTGCCCACGAAGTACCTCATCATGGGCCTGGCACTGCTGCAAGTAAGCAGCAACGCCCGCCTGTATCTGTCCTGTCCGTGTGCGGCTCACCAATACCCAATTCTCCCATGATTCATTCAGGTGCCGCTGTGCTTCTTCCTCACTCCACGGTTCGAGACGCCGGGGGCGACCACCATCTGACCTCCCCACTCACCCCCATGGCTGGCTGGATGGATGGATGCATACAAATCTCACGGACGGCCCCGTTTGCTTGTTTTTGAGTCCGTCCGTTTTTGTGGTTGGCTAATCAACGAGCTGAGCGGTCGGGAGAAGTTCTGTCTGTGTCTACGTGAGCATGTGGGGTCTTGTCTTTTTCGCTCCCTACTGGCACGCTCGAATGAGATTGACAATGAGTGACAATTCAGTGGATGGGGGGGGGGGGAAGGAGAGGCTGGCATGGCATGGTAGTTATCATCAAGTCGGTCATCACGTGTTTGCCACACACATGGTCCGGTCCGTCCATCCGTCGCGAGCAAGCCCTTCGCTAGATGTCACTCTACTCTCGCCCTCACTGCAGCTGCTCTGTGTTCTTAATCTGCTCGAACAGCGGCGCGTTGTGGAGAACCCGAACTTGCTCGTACTCCTCCCGGGCCTGACACAGCACATATACGCAGTCACACATACCAATCACCAGGGAATCAGTGTGGACGTGGGTGTACCGTCCAGTAGGCCTCCTCGCAATCGTTGAGGCGGTCAAGCAGCCTCCGGAAGTAATCCCGCGACGCTAAACAACCAAACATACACACAGAGAGAGACACAGAGACACACAGAGCAGCACACACGTGGTCGTTGCTGCCTAGTGTCTTGGTGTCTGTCTGTGCACACCTGGTCGGCTGCCCATCTCTGCCTCGATGGCACGCTCTCGCTGAACACAGGCACGAAGCTGACCCGTGGCGACACACCAAACCAGAAAACACAGTACTCCGCCCGTACACGGCTCTGCTGGCCGGCCTGCGTGTGGCTGCGTACCTGTCCGAGTAGGGGTATGGGAATGGCGCCGCCCACTCCGCCAAAGCCCTTTTGGTCTAGCGGCGGTATCATGTGTGTGATGGTGTGGTGGGCCAGCACGTCCAGCTGCGGCACGTGCAGACGAGACTCAACCACCTCGACTGCATCCTGATCGAACATTACACACCAAACCCAACCACACACGCATCCATCCATCCATCCATAGAGGGAAGGAGTTTTGGCACCTGCAGCAGGCCAAAGTTCATGAGCACTTGTAGCAGTGTGCCGCAGTGGAGACCACCACCACCAGCAGCTGGGGGAGTGTCGGCATCGTCACGGACCTTGTAGAGGCGCACCTGGTTTGCAAACGACGCCACAGACACACAAGGACCAGAAAACACTGCAGCCTACCGTCCATCCCATCCCTCCCTCCTCTCTACCTACCACGTGTCTGATGAATGCGGCGACGTGTTGGTGGTCGGTGTATCCGCCAGCGCCCCATGTCCTGAGCGGGTTGGGCTGGCACTCAAACGTCTTGAGGAACCAAAACAGCAGCACCGCCACGTCATGAGCCGCATGCATTAGGTGGGTCGGGCCACACACCATCCTAACCAGACCAGACAAGACACAAACATCCATCCACTTGCACGTCTGTGTGTGAGGACGGCTCTCCTTCTCTGTCTCACTTACTGTACTGACCTGTCAGTGGCAGTGGTGAGGTTGTCCATGGCGACGTCGACGCTCCGGCCCGTCTGGGCGCCGGCGATCCTGTCGGCCGCCTCTACTGCCAGCACCTTCAAGACTTCCATGCGGTCTATGGCGAACGAGTCGCACAGCACAAGGGCTGCATTGAGGTGGGGGTTGCAGCCTGACGCAGCCTGCATACAGACAGACAGACAGACAGACAGACCGACAGATACACAGGCTCCGCGTGTGTGTATGTATGTGTGTGTGTCTGTGTGGTGAAGCTGCTGACCAGTTTCCTTGCGATTTGCAGGGGGCTGTGGGGGAGCGGCCAATCGGGGTGATGTTTCCGCTCCAAGACGATGCACCGACACCTGTCATGACATACAGAGAGAGAAAGACGGATTAGTGAATCCACCGAGCCCTCACTCGGCGAGCATGAACAGCCGATGCAGCATGGCTCCGTCGACCAGCACACAGGACGGGACCTCGATGCCGTCAAGTGAGGTCTCCTCTCCACCGCCACTGGCTGGCTGCTGCTGCTGCTGGTCTTGCTGCGCATCGGTCATCTCGACGTTGGCCTCTGCTGCTGGTGGCCGTGTATGGCGGGGAGCGCTCAGGGGCATCTGGAGGAAGGACTGAGGGAAGGGCACAGGGGGGACCGAATCATGCCGGGCGGGGTCGGTGGACGGGAGAGACTCCATCCACGCCTCCAGAGCACTGCAATCAACACATCCATCCATCAGGACTGGCGCGCATGCATCAGACACGCACCCACCGCTGCATCATGTCCTTCTGCATCTTGACGACAGAAAACACCGCATCTTGCACGTAGTCGCCTCCCGCCATGGTGGCCATGGGGGGCATTGAGGACACACCAGCCCTCACGGCCTCCATCAGCTGGGAGGGGAATGCCTCCCAGGGTGTGCGCCGCTGCCATATTGCCTTGTAGTGGACGTGGTCGGGGGGCTTGGCGCCTGGCCACTGGGACACCAATTGCTGCAGGGCGACTCTGCATCAATGGGGAGGAATGTTGTGTGTCGGATGATTGGATGGATGGATGGATGGTCGGATGATTGGATGGGTGTCTCATTCACTCACTGACTCTTGTCGTGTGGCGGCGATGAGGTAGGCGATGGGGATGTCAGACGATCGGCCGAGGACAGAGAGGATACGCGACAGCACCTGACGACAAATGACCAACACCCACCATAGGATCCAGCCCATATCCCCCCTCCCCCACACACACTGACCGATAAGCTGACAGACACGGCCGTGTCAGTTGCGCTGGCCCGCGTCAGCTGCTCCCACACGTCAAGAAGCAGGTCCTCCACCACTCTGCTGATGTGCGCCAGGCTGCCGTGCTTGCCCCCCGCCCGCAGGAAAGAGTCCACCGAGTCAATTAGGCCTTCCGCATACTTGAGGCCCTGACACACATGAATGAATGAATGGGTGAGTGGGTCGGGTCGATGGGCTGGAAGAAAGGGCCTCTGTGGAGGTCTGGTGGTCTGATGTGCGTGCGTACCTTTGCGAGTGCTCTGTTGTGGACTTCGAGGACGGCGTGTCGGCGGTGGTCTGGTCTGCACATGAGTGCACACGTGTAGGCCTTGCCGAACTCCTCAGCCGCCTGCGATGCAATGTGACGGAATGCAGCACATGTGCTGTCTGCCCGCATTAGGGTGCGTGTGGTGTGTGGTGTGTGTGGTACCAGTGTGGTATCGTATGCGTGCGCCCACAGCTGCTGTGCGACGCCCTCGTCGACCCCCGCGCCATTGTCACCCCCACTCGATGACGACGCCAAGGCCGCCGCCTTCATCACACACACGCCCTGCAATGTGCTGTCTGCACACACACGCACCCCGGACACAACAGGCTCAACCAGCCCTCCCTCTCTGTTTGTCTCAGTCACTCACTTTTGCACATCTTGGCGACATTTGTGTAGAAGAGGCATGCGGCACGGTTGGGGTGGTCGGCGGGGATCACCCTGGCGATACGCGACTGGTCCACCTGCTGCCGCTCCAGAAACGACCCGTCGGTCAGGGCCTTCTGCAGCGACCTGTGGGCGCCAGCAAGGTCTCCTTGGTCAGCACACACCATCGCGCAATAGTACTGCACACAGAACGACAGCATAGATGTGTGCGTGTGTAGGGGGTAGATAGAATGGGTCATGGGCAGACTTACGTGGGCGGCTCCATCTGTGAGCAGGTCCATTGCAGCCAGCCGTGGCGCGCTCCACTCGTCCAGTGCGGCGTAGAGCCCCATTTCGAGCATCATACTGGGCAGCTGCTCCGTCATGAAGCTCCACACCGACGGCACCCGCGAGATGGCCCCCTCAGCGTCAGCCGCACACACGCACGCCCAGTGGGTCGCCGCACTCAGCTGACAGGCACAGCAAGGCGAGCGTCGTCAGTCACCCTGTGGTGCGGCCGAGGAAGGCATTCTTGCTTACGACGGTGTCATTTCTCCTGTCGCTGAGGCCGTCAGTTTGCTGTCGTGTGGGACGGAAGGCCGGCGACTCGACAGCCAGACACTTGGTCACCCCCAGTGCCTTGGGCAGCTGCATGCATCAGCAGCGGACCGGCCCGCAAACAGACAGACAGACATATCCCTGGATTGCCTCAATTGCATATGGCTCGCCCACCAGTGCATCGAGGGCATCTAACACGGCCGGCAGGGAGGTGAAACGGTCAGCCGGCGACCTCACCAGACGGTCAATATTGACCTGACAAGACACAAGACACAAGACACAAGACACAAGACACAATATGTCCCCATACAGACCCCAGAACCACACATCCCACACACACCCCCCGTGTGTATGTGTACGTGTGGCAGCACAGCCGGCGGTCCGAGCGCCCCAGTAGCCATGACGACTTCGTGCACCCACGTGACCATGATTGCCAGCTGCCGCAGGGTGTCGTAGAAGCCATCCCACCCGCTGCGGCCCACTTGGCCGCCGAAGAGGGACGACAGGCTGAGGGGGAGAGTCTGGTGCAGGGGCAGCTGGTTGGCCGGCTCGAGGGTGCCACCATTGCCGCCAGAGGGGGGCAGCGCCGACATGATCTGGATGTAGCAGACAGGGACCATCCACACGCATATGTTGTATGTGTGTGGATAAGATAGAATAAGATGCGCGTCTTGTCTTGTGGTGCGTTGTGTTCACCATCAGCTGTTGTGTGATGGTTTGTATGGTGGGTGTGATGTCGGGGGTGCGGAAGAGCTCCCCCACCCTGTCGACCAGTGTCTGCGCCTCGGTGTGGTCGGGGCCAGGCTGGCTGCGCAACAGAATCGGCCTGCACGCACACGCGGACACGGACACGGACAAAAGCGGATGGACGCATCGATGCTTGGTGAGTGCGGGGCTGCGTACAGTCTTTCCAGCAGCTTTCGGCTGGCAGCTTGGGGCGTCAGCCCCGCCATCAGCGACCTCTCCCAATACAGCTGGCAGTAGCACCCGAGACCGCTCCCACTCGACAGCACCTGCAAACACACCGCACCATCTATGGCTGCACACACCCATGCCCACTCGGCCCATCGACACGCACCCACCTGCTCAAATGTGCGTGCGAGCAGTGCGAGTCGCATGGCGAGCATCTCCTCTGTCTCATCGTTGCTGATGGCGCACATGCGGCCGATCGGCAGGGGCGGCCCATGGTGCTCCCAGCCGTGACACATGGGGCGGATCACATATACGCCTTCTCGTGTGACGCCGACGGGCATCTCCCCCGCCAGGCCGTTGCTGCTGCCGCCCTGCCCGATGTCCATGATGGGCGCCCGGCCGCTCTCGACGCCCGCCATCTCCCCCGCCCACACACGCGACGTCGATCGCCCGATGGTCGCAAACACTTCCTCTGACGATATGCAAGACAGGATGGACTCGCGCAGCTCACGGCCCGCATCCAGGGCCGCCTGCCACACAGAGAGGAGTGGGAGAGAAGGTGTGTGCAGTGCGGAAAGGCACTCACTTGTGCGACTTTGGTCTGTGCGATCATGTCGGCAATGTCGGAGGGAGGGGCATTTGTACTGCTGGCGGGGGAGCCGTCGATCCGCTGGAAACAAGGTGGGGTGGATCCATTGACACGTGTGGAGTCTTCTCCCTCTCTCTGCAGATGTGGCGTATATCGATTTCCCTTACCGATCTGATGATGTAGCACAATGCGAACTTGGCGTCGGTGTGGATTCTGTCTAGCATTTCTCGAGCTGCACAGACACACACGCACTTGCCCCCATCATCCTCACACACACAAGTATGCTTGTGCGTGCGTGCCTCACTTTGTGCAGTGGTCTGTCGGCCGTTGAGGAACTGCGCGCATCCGGTGCGGAGCATCCTGTGGCTGAACCGACCTGGGATCAACAGCCGATCGACCCACCACATCGTCACGTCCTGTGGCCATCCATCCATCCATCCATCCATGCCGACAGACACACGGAGGGATCGTCAAACCGCCTACTTGGTCGGTGGTCATGTCCTGTTGCGTGTCGTCCTTTGGCAGGTTCATGAGAAGCTCCAGCGTCACGCAGTCCTCCCCGTCCTTCCAGCGCACCTGACGCAGGTGCTGCGTCGCCACCACACGACCTATCACACGCACCACACCACATCACACACAGCTCAACCAGTACGTTGCGCGCGCGAAAATCTCACGCATACCTTCAGGCACACCGTTGCCACTGTTGTTGTTGGTGCTGATGTCAGCCAGGCTCCATGCGAGCGTGCGGAACTCAGGCTGCACAGAGGAGGTGCCCAGCTCGCTCCACGTCACCTACACACCCACACCCACACACACACACACATGACCGTGCACACACGTGTCTGTCTGTGTATGTGTGTGTGCGTGTGTGTGTCGTTCCCTCCCTCACCCAGATGGTGTGTGTGTTGAGTGTGACCCATCTTGGAGGAAATGGCCGGTCCCGCCAGCCGATCTCGCCAATCAGGTCAAGCTGAAACACGCCCCCGTTCTTGGTGGTGTACACGCGAATCGCCTTGGGCAGTGCCACACACGCGCGGGTGCCGTCAGAACTCACACACAACATCGCACCCTTCAGCTGAAAAAAGGAAGGAAGGCACACACCAATGACACACAATGCCATTTCATCCGTCGCGGTGTGTGTGTGTGTTTCTGACCGAGTCTTCCTTTGCGTGGTTGGAGAGGTCGATGCCCTGTTTGGGCTGTGTGGCCTGGGCGCATCCCTCCCACAGCCGGAGGCGGTGGTCGGTGCACCAGGCCAGCAGCGCCACTTTCTGCACCTCACGGGGGCCGAACAGCGCAAACGGACCGGATGACCTAAAACACGGCCATCCATCCATCCATCCATCCATCCATGTATGTACGCATCATGTCAGGATGGGATGCCTATGTGTGTGGGTGAGATCGGTCGCTTACGTGACCACTTCCGAGATGGCCGCCAGGGTCCACGCGCCGGCACTGCCTGCATGGTCCACACAGACCCATAACCACACACATACCAGACACCCGTGCTCTTGTGCGGCAGCCCACCTGAGGCCAGCCCGATCCTCTCGGCCATCCCCTCTCTGAGGAGCACCCACTGGTTGGCGGGCCTGTCCACCCCGCCATAGTCATAGGGCGACCCTGCCACAGCAGGTCTGAATGCCGGCAGCTCATACTGCGTCACGGCGGTCTCCGTGCCGATGGCCACGATGTTGTGGCGCAGGGCCGTCACGCACTGGGGACGACGGGCGACTGCATGGACAGATGCCATGGATGGGATGGATGAACGGCTCGTGTTGGCTGCGTCAGATGACTCCCTTACTGCTGGGCAGCTGCATGGCACTGTAGGTGTTCGAGAACGATCCCTGGCCATCAGCTGAGCGGGAAGGCTCCACCTTGATCGCATACACGGTGTAGGCCACCTGGGACTCGAACACACACACACACACGCACACGTGACGTAGGCGCGATGCGCAAACGAGCTCCCACATCCCTATCCCGTCTACCACTTACCGTGACGACGAAAAAGGTGACGCTGTCGGCTTTGTCTTTGCCCGTCCTGCTCACGTGTGAGGCCACGGCAAAGCTGCCCAGCATGTGGCAGGGGAGCCAGAACGATGCCAGTGGCTTCATCGGCGGCCGCCCCGATGAGCCGCCGACGGCGAGGCGCGCCGACGGCGACAGATCGTAGATGTCGATACTCCTGTCGGCGAAGTAACTGCACCCAGACACACGGACAGACGGACAGAGAGCAGCATGCACTCATGAATGCAGGTGTGTCAGAGAGTCAGATCCATGTTGTTGTACGAGGCAGTGCTCGCTTCGCTGACCATGTCAGTGTGCGATTCGGCGGGAGATCTGCCACCAGCCCTGCTGCGGCAGGCAGATCCCTCTCTCCGTCCCTTCTGCCGCCCCCGGCCGGGAGGTTGACGCGAGTTGACTCATCTGGGACGGCAAACTCCACCAGCCGCTCCTCACACTCACTCATATCGCCTCCATTCATCGACTTTTCGTCTCGACCACATGCGAGCTTCGCGCCTGGGGAGGAAGGGAACGGCTTTTCGCGCTCTCATCTCGCCGCTTCGCCATTTGCAAGGCCGACTCGCCGTCCCCATTCAAAGATGAAGATCCCGGCTGTTGCCTTGCTGATCTTTGTTGCGTCGTGCGATGCAGCAGCGGCCTCGCGGCCGGTGCTCACAAGTACGTGAGAACACGAGAGGAAGGAAAGAGCAGGCCACAAACACGCACACATGCTGGCTGTAAGGCGCTGGCTGTACGCATGTTCTCTGACTTCATTCAGCGGGGCCTGCGATGAGGCTGCACAGCTTTATCGCACCGAGGCGGCCGTCACGGCGGGACCCCACCGCTCACATCACCGCATGGCACCCGAGGTACGACTGATGGTGGACACGGACACTGATCGGCCTTTCATCAGCACTCGTGTGTGTGTCATCCACTTCGGTTGCTTGGTGCTCGTGTGCGTGGGTGTGGAATGGTGTTGGCTGTCAGGCATTTTTCCCGTGCTCGGTCGGTGGCGATGGGGCTGGCCTATGACAACGTCGTTGGACTGGTCAGTCACTTGATCTGTCCGGCTGAGAGATGTCCTCACGACGAGATGGATGCTGCTTCCTGACTGCGTGGTTGCAGGCTGTGGCTGGGGGCTTGGCCAACTTCCTGCAGCTCTACAACCTGGTCATCACTGTGCGCGTGCTCCTCAGCTGGTTCCCCATGGTGAGTTGAGTATAGCCTCTGGCCACTGGCACCGACCAATACGCACGACAGACGCTCTGCACGCTGCCCTGTGTGTTTGTTGTCCTGCCCCCCTGCCATCCATGCAGTTGGCCAACAATCCCGTGGTGGCCCCCATCTTCACTGTGTCGGATGTCTACCTCAACATCTTCAGGGGACTCATCCCGCCCATCGCTGGCATTGATTTTTCGGTCATTCCCGCGTTCCTTCTGCTCAACTTCGCCAGCCAGGCGGTGGGGAGCTTCGCAGCCGAGCTGCCCGACACGCACAGGCCGGCGGTGGACGTGTCAGCGGCGCATCAGCAGCGTCAACGGTCCAATGGCATGATGATGCAGCTGCCCAGGAAGAGTGCGGCCTTCATTATGCAATGATCCCATCCAACGGGGAGGGGGGAGGTGAGGCAGGCAGGCAGCGAGAAGGAGTGCCTGTAAGGAGACAGTCTGTTGGGGAGAGGGTGTAAATACGGACCATATACGCGGTTTTGGCACTGTTCGGCCGGGCTTCCCTTTGGCCTTCTCTTCTAGGAACTCCTTGACGTCCGCGCTCTGGTCTTCTTCGATCCGATGAGGGCCAGACCACGGGGGGGAAGGGGCACTTGGAAGTGAGGCCAAGGGGTGGAGCCAGCCAGAAGCAGAAGAGCGGTGTGGGTGAGTTTCTTCTGCCTGCATCTGTGTTGAGTGATCGGGAGGATGGTTTTAGAGAGAGAGAGAGAGAGAGAGATGCGATACTGAGTTTTTCTCCTAGCAACGTTCTGCATGCGACGTGAACCACGTGAGCGACAGACAGCCACTTCACAGATGCAGCTCACCCACTCATCCAAGCTCGCAGATCTTCCCCGAAATTAACGGCAGACAGGGCAGTGAGTCAAGCTTAACTGCAGCCTGCAAGTCTTCACAAAGATCTCTCCACTCATCGTCCTGATCCGAGTTCCGCTGCTGTTGTCGCTCAAGGACGATGGCAGCACCGCTGGTGGCTGTCTTGACCGTGCTGCCGTCGTTCATCCTGAGAGTGCAAGTCAACGCCTTCTCACCTCCTTCAGGCCTGAGAGTGCTGGACAGGCGATTGCATTCATCGGCAGCAGCTGCGAGGCCGGCCCTGAGCATGGTGCAGCGGCGCGATGTCATTGTTGGGAGGGGACGGATTGGCTCACTCTTATACGTAGGATACGAGGGATGGATGGGTGACATGCGAGTGAGGCGTTATTCTGGGTGTTGCCGTGGTCTCTCTCTCTCTGTGTCTGTTTGTGTGTGCGCGTGTATGTCAGGAGCTTGGCGGGAGGAGTGGCGTTCTTGTTGGCCGCGACGATCCCATACCGGCTGACGTGGAAGGTCCCATCTATGTATGTGAGAGAGACCGCTACGCATCGAATGAATGATCTATTGTCGCTGTTCCTGCTGGTGTTGCTCCCTCCCTCCATCCCTTACCGCACTCAGGTGTGCACCCGCAACGACGCGTTGGCGAGCATCATCGACAAGACGCCTGCGAGCCGGAGGGAGGATCTGGTCTTCCTGCAGAACGGCATGCTCGAGCCCTTTCTGCAGAGCTATGCCCTACAGGTGATTGTAGTGACTTCACACACAATGCTCTGGGCTCTGGATCTGCTTGACTGGATGCTTTGGTTGGCTTGGCGTGCAGGACAACACAATGGGCCTGATCTACTTTGCGGTCGCAAAGCTGGGTGAGCCGCCGATCGACGGCAAAACGGATGTCAATCCCGAGGGCCTCACGGCCGTCAACGGCAAGTGGGCCAATGACTTTGCGGCCCTGCTGCGGAACGGCCAGCTGTCTTGCAAGGTGCTGGAGAAGGCCGTCTTCCGCGCATCCATGTACGAGAAGCTCATTTGGATCGCCGCTTTCATGCTCGTCGGCACCAAGTATGGCGTCACCGTGGGCGAAGTGGAGCAGAGCCACAGGTAACCAACACGCACACACAGGGGGTGTGGAGAGATGCAGCGGTAATGTGCTTGCTGACCTCAGGCAGGAGGTGACAGAGCTGATAGGGGAGCTCAAGAGGGCCTCCGAAGGTCTCGGAATCACATTCCAAGTACGCACGCATAACCGGCCAGAGAGAGGCAGGCTTCATGGCACAACGCCCATCCATGTGCTTGCCGTGTGACGGTCGTCAATCAGGATGGAATGGTGGAGCGGCTCTGCTCATACACAAGGTGAGGAAGTGACACAACCACACACACATCGATGAAGGCACGCCCCTGTCTCTGCCTCTGCCTCCTTTCCGTGGTTGCAGGTCTGTGTCGCACTTTCCCACGGCCGTCAAGGAGTTTGAGTGGCGCAACGGATTCTTCTGGGACCTATCCAAACAGGTGCGTCTAACACACGCACATGGATAAGCCACCGTTTTGTCTGTCCGCCCTTATCTGTCTGTATGTCTGTTCTGTGGGGTGTGTGCAGGCGATGGATGGCGGCCGTGCTGACCCGTGCCCGATTCACACGAGGCTGCTGCAGCAAGTGGGGGCGGTGCCCCAGATGCAGAGATAGATTGTGGGATGATTGTGGGTGTCGCGCGTACACAAGGCAGGGACGTGGCTTCGACTTCTTGGGCATTTGTTGGCAGTGTGTGGCTGTGCTCTCACTCGGGCGGACCAGTGCCAAAACAGAGTGAGGTGGCCCAGGTTGGCTTGCTCAGGCAAGTGTCCATTCGGGGAAATACAGCTCTTGTCCTGAGGTTGTTGTATGCATGAGAGACCTTTCCGTGCTGCTAAAGCACATTTGAGGCAACCCATGATCATATGTATGTATGTACAAGTAGGTCGTCGAATACATGACATGCATTGCAATGGAGGGCATCAGGCAAGGCACCACAAAACACGAGGATGCAAAAACGCTGCCAGATGCGACCATCCTTCCGTCCATCCGTCCATTCCGTCCCTGGCTGCGTGCATGGAGCGACAGCAACTCAGTCACCAAACAGCAAAGGCACCCACGGCAGCACACGCACACATACGAGAGAAAGATGGGGCAAAAAGTGAGCTCTGGACTGACGAGAGACTGGGAAAAACCTATCATCCTGCTTGGTTTGCCTGCCTTTGGACGCACACACCCCCGTCTATGGCGTCGGTACGTCAGCCGGCGCTCCAGCGGCCCTCTCATACACCGCCACCATCACACGCTGAGCCGCCCATGGATCCTCAGTCGAGCTCACTGACACCGGCAGCAGACCAACAAACCTGACAAGGAGAGTCATCAAACACAGAAACACTTAGTGAGCAAATAATGAGAAGCATTGTTCTTCTCCTGCCCCACCCACCCACCCACCC